ACATTATATATATATATATATATAACGATAATATATAATATTAAGGATTGTGATAATCAACGAAATTTTCAGGTGTGTTCCTAGACATCCTGGACCTGGTCTTAGCTTAGAATCTTATGTCTATAACCTTCTGTACAACGTACCGGTACCATTGCCTGGCAAATCATTGAAATTTTTCGTACCTAACGATGAACCAAAGAAGACGGTCATAGAACGTACGGGTTCAGCCTCGTTTTCTACGAGGAGTGCCGCAATCGCAAAATATGCGCCGCAATGCAAACGTTACAAGCGATGCACATCACGGAACTCAGCAGCGGTCAGAACGGCACGCCTCCCACGTACGTCTACTTTTCCGTATATTTTTTGTCTCTATGACTCCTTGTATTACTATCAGTATTGAAACTTCTAAAGCATGGTTCGATTTTTCAGCGTGAGGAAGGGTCAGGATGGACATAACACGAGATCGTTACCACGTCACTTTAAATTGTCAGCCCATTCACCTGGTGCTGCATTAGGATATTATGATTCTATCAAAGACAAGTTGCTAGTGACTAAATCAATAGCCTTGCTATGCCAACAGCCTTACCTCTTCGCGGCAAAGACGTTCCTCACCAATCTTTATAAGTAAGAAATCTCTCACGAATCTTTATAAATCTCTAAAACGAGCTGACACGTCCTTTTTCTTTTACACAATTGCGTTTATGTCATATATTGTAAAGTTATTCATGTTATAGTGTCAAATATTTAACGAAAAACTTCAAATAATATTTAAAAAAATAATACGAAATATTATAATATTAAAGACAATGTTAATTACGTATTTATAATATAGACAATGTTAATAATATGATAATACTATATGTCAAATTAAATATTTAAATTTTGTCAACTAATGAACACAAAACAATAATTTGATTCCTAAAGACAATTTATTTTAAAAAATTATGATTTTTCTTGTATAATTTCTTTCTTTCGTTATTATTAATTTTCTTTGAATATCTTCTTTTTGGATATTGTTTTTGTATCTCCACAAAAGCAAACTATTGATTACAATTTATCCTAATAGTCATAACAACTTCCATATATGTGTATTGTACAAATATTTTGTGCTACATCTATTGTGTGCACTATGGCTACATTGAGATTTGTATAGCGCGCAACGCTTTATATGAACTACATTACCGGTCATTCTAGATGTTTATACGATTTCTTCGAAATACTTTGATAGACTAACGAGAATATCTTGAGTTAATCTTCTTATTCTGCTGTGTAGGTCTGTTTTAGAATCTGAGAATTTCTTAGAAGCGATAAAATCATTTCTTTTTTCGCGTTGAAGATTTGACGAACAAAATATATATGCAGCAACATAATATATATTACATTATATATA